GACCGTTTATTAAGTGAGACTTGGAGGATGCCTTCAACAATGAGGAAGCGCATACTTTCGATAACATCCAGAGCTTCTAGGGCAGCGCGGCATTAGTAGTAAAAGAGAAAGAATGAGTTGCCTCGCAGCTCCTACTCTTATTCGTCAACGAGAAAGCGCAAATGTGCCAACCGTGAGCGTTGGTACATGACCCACATCTCCGTACAAGTGTTCCAGTTTTCATCCATGTAGTTGCAAAATGCCATATATCCAGTCCTAGTGCAAAGTGCCTTCATGGAGGTCCAATTGGTCTCGTAGATCTCTGAACTTAAGGCATATACCATGTTGTGGACTAATGCGTCGATGGCGTCGTGATCGTCCGACGAAAGTTTACCATAAACTGGCTTCCTGGACGCTGTGCGGAGATATTTGATGACGTGAAAGACGCAAATCAACACGCGCGACTTAGGGAAGTACCGACGCAACACGCGGATCTCATTCAGATCTTTGTCGACCATTATAACTTGAACCTTGTCGCCAATCTTATCGTCAATCCGAAATAGATGATCCAGCGCTCGGGACATCTGCCAATCGGCGTTTCGTTCGAGCAAAGACTGTTGTACAGGCTGCCCACGCCCATTGTCGTCTATCATCATGAAGGTACAAAGCTGGTAGTTGTATCTAATGCACATTACATGGACAAGAATCGCACAATACATGGGCATGACATTAAAATTAGCATGGACAATACATGGACAAATAATTGCACATTACATGGGAGGACTTACCGATTCGTTTTGTGGGTACAGTCCACAAGCAAAAGCTCTGGAAGCCTAGTAACCATGTCGCGCATATGTCTGGAAGTCATACTGATCACACCAGAGTGTCCCGCATCAGTTTCGTCCACCGTGACTACGTTACCGTCAATAGCTGCGAATTCCGCGAGAGTTGCGGCGCAAGCGTCGTCGTCATTCAACCCTCCTCTTATCTCTGCTTTAACACGTTGCACAATGTTGTCCACATCCTTCTTGACGAGGTTCTCGCCTCTCCCCAGAAGATACTCATAGATACGTGCGCGCTTTCTACCGTACATCACCATGCTGTCCACAGCATCCTTCGTGTCCGTGTCGTCCAACCTACGGTTCTCCGCGTACGTCTTGAACTGCGCTGTCCCCACCGCATGGTTGTGCTGGTACACACCGTTCTTCACGCGAAGGCAGCATAAGCCGTCAACTTGCACGAGCTGCACCACAAATCGAAATGGACAACCGCATCCTCGGACGAAGTGCTTGGTTCGCAATCCGCTGCTCCTGTCTTTTGCTGGCCAGCCATGTGTGCAGATGTATGTGCGTTGGTAAGCACCCCACGTCTCTGGTACGTACGGAACATCCATTCCCTGCTTTGCTGCCGCTGTTTGACCCAGCCGCTTGTTTCTCAATACGCAACTAAGCGTTGACTGGATGCGGATGACCTGGCGGGACTTTACCGAGTAAGCCTTCAAATACTCATTCCACGCCGACCAGCTCGGATACGTCACGTCTGCGGGGCCCTTTACAAGGGAGGGAGAGTCTACGACCTGGACAATACATGGACGCTTGAAATCGCCCGTGTCAGGCGAGGCGTCGTCCGAGTTTGCAGCCGCGCCGGAGGCTGCGGAAGCCGTGGTGTCGATATCTGAAGAGGAGTCGGACGATCCACCCTGTATTTACAAATAGATAACGCGCGGTTAGAAACACGTTCACAGAGACCACAAACAGCAAGATAACGCACCTCAGACGTCGCGGAAGCGGGTAGACTGAGCGACATGGCCGGCAATTGCAGCAACGGTTGATCTCGTGACGTAGGCTGCGGCGTGCAGGTAACGGAGCGGCGGCGGCGGCAATGCTCGAAGGGGGGCGAGTTTGGGTTTGAAAAGCAAATGAAAGGCTGGTGTGATTGGTACAACTACCGGTATACAGTATTGTACCGGTATTAACTACATAGATCACATCGTGGACAATACACGGATGAGAGTTGGACAATAATTGCACTCAACGACTGGGTTGTTTTTATAAATTACCGAGTGAAAATATTTTACATCATGGACATTACATGGAGTATTACATGGAAAATAAGCGGATTTGACGCATGGACTGTAGCATTTCCGAATAATTTATTGTGCTTTGCAGATGCGCATAAAACTATGCATAAAAATGAAACAAGAAAAGGCAGACGTGGATTTTATTTTTTGCGCGGATTTTAAACACGCAAAAAGGATCGATTTACAGGAAATCAATGTAATTTACTTGAAAATCTATCTCGTGCGCTCGATTTACAGTCCGCGACACCATCAAGAAACCTTTTCTGACATCTTTATTTTATTTTTTGTACGGTTTTTGGAATTTCGCACATCATTCGACAAAGTGGCTTTCATTTGGTGTAGCTTTCACTAGTACTAACCGAGCATCACCGATACGCGGCGGTAGTTTGGGCTTAGTTCTACTTGTTTATGTCTGTCCGCCTCCGCTACGCTCCGGCGGGACAATGATTAAAAAAAGAACCTATGTGCCTAAATCGAGCTTTTTAATATCGTAAATCTGGGTATAATTAGATTGCCAGGCTCGAAATGATTATGTAACAAGTATGATACGGGCGGGTACAGTAAGGTGGGTACTATTGTGACACGGGCGAGTTCGGTGGCGCGACCGAGTACGACGGCTCGTTCACGGAGAGCGATTATGGAA